AAGTTCCTTCTTCTTCTGGTAGTCCCTGAGCTCCCCGAATGCATTGCCCAGGTTGTTCAGAACACCGGCCGTGGCGTCATGTTCGGGTAAGCGTAACTCCTCCACCACCTCCAGCAGTCGNNGGTAGTCCCCGAGCTCCCCGTATGCAGTGCCCAAGTTGTTGAGGGTTCTAGCCACCTCCTCCGGCCCATGCAACTCCTCCACCACCTCCAGCAGTCGGGCACCCAGCTGTGCCGCTTTGTGGGCCTGCCCAGTGCGCAGGTACACCGCAAGCAGCTCGTTAGCAGCCACGATGCCATCTGCCGTCTTCTCTTGGTTCCGGGTCAGCACATACGCCACCTCGCGAAGTGGCAGCGCACACCACGCCTGGTACTCTTGTTCTTCCACTAACTTCGCGGCAGCAGCCACTGTCTCGTGTACCAAATCGGTCTTCACGGACTCAGAAACCATGATGTCGGCTGCCTGCTGCAAGGCTTGCGGACTGGCTCCTTGGACCCCAAATGCCCGACTGCACAGATCTGCATCCTGCATCAAGTCCTGCCAGTGGACGATTTGAGGTCCGTCCTCGCTGTCAACGAAGAGGTGAACGAGCTCGGGCTTCCGTATGTAGCCGAACTCCCAGCGGCAGGCTTTCGACCTCAAGGGTGTACTCTCGGAACTGGTGCGCTTGCTGTCCTATCCGTGCGGTAATCCCTTCCCATGCCGAATGCTGGACATTGCTGCCTCCGGACCCGGGATCTAAGACTGTTTCAGAATTAAGGCTCGACACGATGTTAAGGATTCGGTCTCACACGAAACACCTGAGACACGAACTTGAAGTAGCTTTCCGTCAGCTGCAGAATGAGGATGCCGTGCTTGGTCTCCTCGGCTGCCTCCTTGTAGTGCTTGAACCAGTTCGGAAAGTCGCCGGGTTGCCGGGGGTCCTCGAGGTTGCTGTACTTCGGATCCCATCGCTGCGATGCCTTCCCCGGCACGACGTGCACGCCCATGCCCAAGCTGCGGTCGGTGCAGAATCTCACGGGCCCTTGGCGGGATGCAGCCGACAGCAACAATATGCGCAAAAGCACTCAAAAGCATGCATGCTTGTGACTTTCTTCGAGCGGCGGGTCTTTCCGTCGAAGAGCACGCCTTCCTTCAGCCGGTGCAAGATCTTGTTGTTCGGCCCGCTGTCGGGGCTGGCAAAAGAAATCAAGAAGTCGGCGTCCTTCGCTTGCGTCTCGCCTTGTGCCTCCATCCGGCCGTCCTTCCAACCCGCGGGCTGCCACTTGCGGGCCAGGAGCAGCTGCTCGTGGACTACGGCATCGTCGCGGCTCAAGTCATCGGCCATGCGGAAGTCGCCTTCGAGGTCGAGGCCCAGGAGCTGTCGCACGATGCCCCGCTTGTTGTACGCCTCGGCGCAGTTGGGGTCCAGCTCGATGGCCAAGCACAAATCCGCGAGGGCCTCGTGGTGTCTGCCTTCTTGGAGTCGCTGCCAGCCACGGGAGTGGAGCGCCGTCGCATTAGACGCTTCATCTTGTAACTCTTGCCGAGCTCCATCTTCCTGCGAACGGCCCCGGTACGGGCAACTTCACTTCGTGGATATGCAGTTGTTGCAATAGATTCACAAAATAGGTGCAGGATTGTCGAGGTCTCCATGGTTCGTGATGATTCGCAAAACTTTCAACATCCACTGAGCAAGTTGACAAGTGTGAAATACGTCGATGTCTCACACATTCGCCGAAGTAATGAATGATAAGTCGTTTTGTATTCGTCTCGCATCCACATGCCTCCATGAACCCTTCTCCAATGCACTTCGCCGCATGGCAGTTGCATTTTGTTCGCACTCACCGGGAAAGCGCGACTGCAGAGCCTTCAGGCCTTGGTGCTTCTCTGCTCTGCTTCGTGGCATCGCTGGTCATCGCTCTTTCCTTCTGGCCTTCTAAGCAAACGGAGAG